AATAAGGGGAAAGAGGGAAAAGGGGGAAAAGGGAGGCTGCCCGTGGGCCCCTGGACCACCTCAACTGGTCGTGCCTTCCTGCCGCGTTAACGTCCTAACGGTACGAAAGAAATGGTTTCCCGCGACAGTAACTCTCTGTGCACAACTACACTCCACCCGTACGAGGCATGTACCTTCGCACTCCCTCCGGTGACGACCAATCCTGCGCTATCACCCACATGCGCTGTCACCGGTGTGATCCAGGCTCCAAAAGGACGGTGCCATAGCCGTGCCGCCACTGTCGCTCCCGAAGGAGCCCGCACTCGACTTCGAGCCCGCTCGACAAATGCGCGCGCCTACCCTGTGGGAAGGGTTCCTCGGTCGAGCCGCCAAGGGGATGACACCGGCCCGTCCCTGAATAGCTCTTCAGAAGCACGAACAGATCCCGATCATCGTATGAAGTGAACGCTGACGTCTGGGATTTCCAGTTGGCCAGAGCTGCCACCATCTTACCAACTATCCACCCCGCGCTCGAGCATCACACTCACGGTTACCGCTTCTGTAGTCCTGCTGCTGGCTGCGTAGGTGTTCACTCCTGCCTTGCCGTTCACCTCGATATTCCTATCGGGCGCTGAGCGTGGTACTTCGGGTTCGTTACGCACGCATGGCTGATGGGAAAACGCGTTCCATGACTCGTTCCAAAATGTTATCCTTAAATCGTCGATCCTCGCGTCCAATCCGATCCATTCGCGGGCGGATACCTCCATCAACCATACGCTCGGCACGATGCACCATATTGCGGCTCCTAGGGGGCTCAGCGCCTTTCTCCGCTCGCCATATACAGCCCGATCCAGCGTTCCTAGGATGTTGTAGACGACCATGCAAACTGGGCTCTTGTCTGCGCGACCGTGTCGCGACTACCCCTACCCGCAAACTCAGTATGACGCGACTAGAACGCAAGAGATCCTATACAAACAGTACATCACATAAGTTTATCTAAAATAACACAAAGAAAACTAAAGCTAAACATAATACTAAAACTACAAAAAAGTACTAAACTACAACGCGGGGCGAGCCGCGATTCCCCGCGCCACCGATGGGCCTCTAACTCACTTACACTCTCGCACTAGCACACTCCACACTCTCCCAGCTTCCAAGGGAGTACCCACAGGCCGGCCGCGCGCCGCCAAGGCAGCAGCTACGGCACGGCAACACCGACCCCGTGATGTTAACCAACAGTATCAAACCAAGCTCCCAACAAGTCCTGCGCGTCCAAGGCGCTCTATGATGTTCGTCGTCCTAGAATTCTATCCTTGCGCGTCCATCCAAGCAATCCATCGACGATCCATACTATCGCGCAAGGCACGGGGACGTAGACACGACGGCGATATCGTGGACCCAACCAATCAATAATACGAGCGGCACGACGATAGTAGTAAGACGAAAGAGAAGAAGAGCCGCAATGGCGCGCGTACGCGCTATTTATAGCGGTGGCTGGGGGCGTGCCTACATGGTGTGGTCTCGGAGCGAACAAGGTAGCCGCCGTAAAGCGCGGCGACCGTGCCCACGACCGAGACGCGCGGCAACACGGTGCTCCCGGCCACATGCTGTGAGGAGCGGTCGATCGCGAGCCGCGACAAATATGAATGCTGTTTTTTCATGTCATCTTGTTTAGATTTTGATCAAGCACTAAAATGGATTTACCCATATTGTTTCTATGTTTACAGTGGATTTACAATTACATTGATCATATCTCTGACAGTGGTTGGGCTATTCCCAAAACATGACTTTCAGTCCCAAGAATTTTCATTTCATTCAATCCGTCATCCATCATAGTCCAACCTATTAATGATCATCATCATCATCTTTACAAATGACTTACAGAATCTATCCTGGTCGTTAATATGCAGGTTTTTTGCTATTTGAGAATAATCGAAAGTATTTGGAACATCATAAATCATCTCTCTGGAAACATCCCGCTCGCTTATACATAAATCTATCCAGGAATTTTCTTCTGTTCTTTTTCTGCTTTCCATTTTGAAATGATGGGGTCTTGTATTACTATTTCTTGCTCACTTTTTCTAGAGCTAAAGCAAACTTTCTTGACGATTGTTAATCCCATGAGCGCCGTCACGACATCCGGCCTTCATACAGTTTTTCATGATCTAACTTTCCCAAACCAACACATTAGATATAAAGCGTTTTTCTCAGAATGCTTTCGCGATAATTTTGCTCGAATGCTCAGCATGGGTCATTTTCAGGGTCAAGCGTGGGGTGCGGCACGCCGCACATGGGGGTCGTATTGAGGAGTCAAAAGGGGAGGGGGTCGTAGTTGGGTAATCTGATAATAATGATAACATGATATTTGTATCATAATCATAATTAGCATGTTAATTAACCCCTGTAGACAAAGTGTGAGCGAGTTCTGAAGATTCAAGATACTAGGTTACCTAAATGAAATAGTCAAATTCCAACATGGTTAACTTTGTTTCAAAGGTGAATTAGCTATCCGTTTTTGCACTGGAGACAAAGCACTACTTCTTCTTTGTCCACCTCAGGAATCCCGCTTCAGAAGACCTGCAAACTGTGGAATTAGAAGCCAACCAAAATCTCGTTTTTCTCATTTTTCGAATTTGATCGCTGTGCTTTCACCAAATATTACTCAGAGCTAAGAAGACGAATCAGGCTCCAAACAGTCCTATGGAATCTACAAGGTTTAGGCTATCGATTCATGTAAATACTATCCGTTAAAAATTTTTTTTGATATACTCAATGGGGTGCGGCACACCCCCTTAAAAGCTGCGGCTGCCGCAGCTTTTAAGAGGGTGTGCCGCACCCCCTTAACTTGCCTTCAAAATCCAGAAAGCGCTCCATTGCTGGTATGAGTATTGAGCACATAGCTCCTTCTTGCTACACTGGAAATTTGGAGCCGAACGCCCCACCCATAAGAAAATTATGGCCCTTTCAATATGCCCATTCAGATCAAAATCAGCCGTCAAATTACGTGTGATTGTAAAGTGCAGTCACAGAAAATGGCGTACAGCTCTCAGAAATCTGAAAACTCTCTAGAAAAAGCTGGTGTCCTCCAGAATGTCACACTTTGAGGTCCAGAGGTTAAGAGGAGGAAGAAGTGGTCGTTTGAGGGCTTTCATGGGAGGGGGGGGGGGGTTGTTTTCGAAAGACTTGTGCCTGACCTCTTTCTCAACTCTGGTAATGCTATCTTAGGTATATAGTTCAGGGGGGGGGGGGTCTTATTGAGACAGCAATCAGGGGGGGGGGGGTCGTAACCAGCGATCGTGTGCCACACCCCTTGCTTGACCCTGGTCATTTTGTAATTCACATTGCAACTTCGTGAGACCTCAAGCAAAAATTTTTGCTTTTTGGTCTGGCTGGTTGAGATGGCTATGGGAAAGTTGTCAAGCATAGTTGTTGTCATTACGCCAGATTGATACCTTTTGCTCCTCAGAGTTCCCTCACTCATTAATTTTGGCAAATTGTGCTGGTTATTTATGATTTTATCAAAACTGAGTTAACGCTGAATTGAAGGAAGAAGAGACTATTAGGTTGTCTCGAAAGTAAACTCCTTTTTTGAATAATTTAAGCTGTTTTTGCTCTACTGGCAAACTTGGGGTATCATTCGATAAAGCAGGTCAAGCTCTATAAAAAGACTACAAAGGTTCCGCCTAAGTCGCATTCCATGTGAAATTTGAAGCCAGTCGAATAAAATATTGTCAGAAAACTGGGTTTTCACGAGGAAAAACTCTTCGGGCCTCGAATTTGGTCATTATACAGTAGGCACATAGCAGTACTCAACTATGCCTGTAATAGATCTGTTACACGCATGGGAAGCTAGAAAAAAGATAGTTCAGATGTAAATCTCCGCCCCCAGCTCCTCCCACATATGTTTACTACAAGCCTTTTTAAGTATAATCTCAAAACTTTATCCTATTATGTGCTCTTATGATCAAGAAATACCAAGTTTCGCATGAAAAACCCGAAAAAGTGGCATTTTGGCATATTCGGACCATATTAATTTCTCAATTTCGAGCCTTAAAAATCAATTAAACACATTTCTATACACTACTATAAGTCTATTATATGAAGACTAAGTTTGAAGTCCGTAGGAGTTTTTTGGACGAAGATCCGATTTTTAGAATAGCTGAAAATTTTCGATTTTTGGCTCCAAATTTTACCTGGATTAGGACTTAGGTGGATCTTTGGTGGTCCATTTGTAGAGCTTGCTCCGCTCTTGCGAAGGACCCTAAGCCTATCAGGAAAACAAAAACACTTTTTTTGAAAATGAAGTTTGATCTTGGGACAACCTAATATGTTTCAAATGCGCTCAGCCAAGGCAGTACCCAGTTTTTGTTAATCTAAGGCCTACACGTTATACTGCACAGCGCCCTAGGGGCGAAATCATTGGCAACTGAATGATAAATTCATTATCGTCGTTTATAATGAAAAATTGAAGCTCCCCCCTGTGAGTCGAAAGAGCTACGACAACCACTAAACTCATTTCCACACCCAGATCCAAGTCTTCTTATTCGAGTTCCCTAAGCATTCTCACACAGTAAACAAGCATTACTCACAATCATTATTCTCGCCCATGCCATCATACTCCTTCCAATCTGCATTCACTGACGATCTGTCGAATATCTTCACAATGTTATTCTACGCACTGTCTACGTGCCCATTTATTATGCATGCAACGCTAGCTTGCTTCTCGTTGTTTTTCTTCTGATTAGCGATTTTGTGCTAATTCACGACAATGTGGAGACATTCCATTATATCTGTTTTTTTTTCGTTCTTTGATGAGCGGGGTTTGTTTTTTCTGCCAAAGAGTGTACTTCCTGACTCCGCCCGTATTCGAGCACTCTCTTGGAAAATTCGACTTGGGTGGCCAGAGAGATTTTTAAGCAAAAATTATCTGTTCATATCTGATTTTTGCGTCCTTGTACTTTCGCGATTCGCACATTTTGTGCAAATCTATCGATTGATTATTGATTAATTGACTGATTTTCCAGTCGTTCCACGTGTTCCGTCCCGTGGTGTTGGTTGTGTGACGGTGGCAATGCTATACTGTTAGTGGATTCTGCCCCGTTCATTCATCTCTCTAAGAAACAAAGCAAAAAGTCTCCTTCTGGATACCGCAAAGTGCTCTACCCACAGTTGATGTGCACAACGCTCTCTCGTCTCTTGTGATACCCAAGTGACTCTTAACGTTAGCCACGAAACCTTCTCCAAAAACAAATCCAACTATGAGCATGTCATCGTCGTCATCTGCGCTCGACATCGCTCATCAAAACGAGAGAACACCGACGGAGCTCGACATACTAAGCCAGAAATACCTGGACGACGAACTGGTGAGTGTTTGGTTGATGTTGTTTTGCTCTTGAAAAGATTTTGGAAAGCCTCTGATACAATTTATCTTTCTCGAAAGTTTCAATGTCTTCATAACTGTACATAGTAACCAGGTGATCTGTGGAGGCAAATTATCGTAAATATATCAAATTTCTATTTTTGTGACATCGACTTTTAAGGACTTCTTAACGTAAATTTACAGTACCCCAGCTCAAAAGATTTGTGCCATAAAGTTACCATTGTTATTACATCAAGGCGTGTGAGAGCGTGTTGCCATAAATTTACCGGACTCAGATACTAAGAACTCAGAAATAACTTCTTTTTGTGACATGTATGCATTATGAGCGCTCTTTACGTAAACACGTATAACCCGTAAACCAGAAGCTTGCTATTTTCGTGAGATTAAGAAGTGTGAACACTCCTTATCGTAAACCTACAGTATCCCACTTTCGAAAACCTGGGTTACAAGATTGCCTTTTTTATGATGCATTTGGAGCCGCTTACCGTAAATCTATCGTTTCCAAAAGAAAATTTTTGAAATCGTATTTGTCTGAGGCCTGGGATACAATATCAAATGCTCCGTGACAAAAAGCACCCTTTCACGACTGCAGGGACTCTGCCCTATTCCGGTGTAACCCTGGTGTCATACAATTCGGGTTAACTATCTGTCATATAACTCGAGTCTTAAGATCTCAGAGCTAATACCCTAACCCCGTAGAAAGACTCTATCAATCGAATTAGTGACGTTTCCTCATTATAAAGAACTAGCTGGCTTACCCGGCTCCGCCGTATCCGGACCAAACTTGGCACACATACACTTCGGGCCCCGGCGGGTGTCACAGTCCACTTTTCGTTATCGATCGATGTCGATTTTACCGATTTTTATTGATTTTTTTGCAGAATTCACCTACAGGGCTAGGAGTTGGCACAGGGGGGGAAGTGAGCATGGGGATTCCGAATACAATATTAGCTTCCAGAATTATCGATTACTTTTATTGATCTTATCGATTTTTTGTAAATTTTGACATGCGAGGCTGGGATTTTGCACAGGGGGTAATCGAGCATGCTGATTACGAACACAATATTAGTTTTCAGGATCGTCCATTACTTTTATCGGTTTTATCGATTTTTTTGTAAAGTTTGACCTGCGGGGCTGGGAGTTTGCACAGGGGGGTAATCGAGCATGCAGATTACGAATACAATATTAGTTTTCAAGATCATCCATTACTTTTATCGATTTTATCGATTTTTTGAAAATTCGAGCTAGGGGGCTGCAATTTGGCACAGGGATGTAATAGCATGCTGATCACCCCCCTTGGGGATGATCAGCATGCTCGATTACCCCCCTGTGCCAACTCCCAGCCCCCTAGCTCAAACTTTGCAAAAAAATCGATAAAATCGATAAAAGTAATCGATAATCCCGAAAGCCAATATTGTATTCGGAATCCCCATGCTCGATTACCCCCCTGTGCCAACTCCCAGCCCCGTAGCTCAAACTTTGCAAAAAAATCGATAAAATCGATAAAAGTAATCGATAATCCTGAAAACCAATATTGTATTCGGAATCCCCATGCTCGATTACCCCCCTGTGCCAGCTCCCAGCCCCGTAGCTCAAACTTTGCAAAAAAATCGATAAAATCGATAAAAGTAATCGATAATCCTGAAAACCAATATTGTATTCGGAATCCCCATGCTCGATTACCCCCCTGTGCCAGCTCCCAGCCCCGTAGCTCAAACTTTGCAAAAAAATCGATAAAATCGATAAAAGTAATCGATAATCCTGAAAACCAATATTGTATTCGGAATCCCCATGCTCACTTCCCCCCCTGTGCCAACTCCCAGCCCCGTAGGTGAACTCAGCAAAAAAATCGATAAAAATCGATAAAATCGATATCGATCGATGACGAAAAGTAGCCTATGACACCCGCTGGGGCCCGTAGTGTATGTGTGCCAAGTTTGGTCCGGATCGGTTCAGAAATGGAATTTTCTATTCGGAACATACGTACAGACAGACAGACAGACATACAGACAGACATACAAACAGACATTCAGCTTTATATATAAGAAGAAGATAACCCTGTGCTATGACCGGGATATCTAATGTGGCTGGGTTTGGTAGTAACTATGCTACAGTGCCCAGACAAAAATAAAGGAGGAATCTCTTATGATTTTTTCTAATAATCTTTGTTACATCTACGAGTTTTCCGATAACTAAGTTGCTCATTTTTTTACTTTCAGCAAGACATTTTCAGTATCTGTTGAGTCTCCATCTTATATTTTCCGCTTTACCTTCAACGAATTCCGCCAAGCGCCGCCATCACGACTTCTGCTCCTTTTGTACGTGCTACTGCATACCGTGTAAAGACCAGTTGTCCGTGGAAATGGCGCCTAATGACGGAAGTCGCTGTTCTAATTTCTTCTTTATCCTCCAACATACTTCTTTCATATCAAGTCTTCCAGTAAGTGGACTAAATGCCAGAAAAAACAGTCTGTCTTGAGCAACATCTCGTAACCTTTTGTCTGCAATAAATTATGGAGATGTCCAGACATACTTTAGAGTGTGTTTGTGCATTTGCACATTGCACAATAAAATTGCGTTCCGACGTGCAGCTACTGTGAAGACGCAGTTTACGCCCATTAGCGCCGTGATGGATTAGTGATTTTTTTGATTGTCTTTAGCAGTGTGCGTATAAATCATCAGTTTATTGTTCACCGTTTAGAGAGCGTAAAGAACTTTTTAGCACTGTGGAAGATACAAATGCTATAAAATTTGCTCGTCAAATTCGTTGTGCTGTAAACTATCCGCATTCGCTTATAACGAGACATAATGATAGCAGGCGAAGTAAAATTTATTGGTAACTCTGCTCGTTTTTGAGTTTTTGCTCTAGAAATTAATATCGCAGGTAGGGATGGGGAGGAGGAGTGGAATAAGGGAGAGGACAGTTCGGTACAGTGTGGGAGATGTTTTGAAGAAAATGCACTCTTCTACATAGAATATACTGGAAAGAAACTGTGGAAAATTCTACACAAGCCGGGATTTTCTTATGTTTGAATATCAGATGATCTTGACTTATATCTGCAGCACATCTCCTTTGACGAACCTAATTTCTCGGTTAGACTATCATAACTCAAATCAAAATTTTTCGATCGATATATTGATTTTTTGGGCTGAAATGACATACATTCATATGCAAGATATGTTTTCCTAGTAAGCAGTTTTTAGAACCGATTTGTAATGGAATTGATGGGAAAATTTTTGTATATTGTACCTATCTTAAAAGGATGAGGAAACAAGTGGAGAATTTTTCGTTACCCTTAGAATAAGCAGTCGTGGAGCCCTAAGCTTGGCATGCAATACATATCCGCTCTCTCAGGCTCTTCAAAGTTTTCAAAAATTTCTTTGGATTTGTTGCTCTGACATTTTCTTTCTGGACTGATATGTAATACAAATTTTCCTTTCTTTCACAGTCAAAGTGCATGCAGATAGCCACACCTTAATTTTTTTGGTAGCAGAACTGTAGGAGTTTTGCTCGTAAATCTTCTTTTTTTTTCAGTGCTAAACACTGTTTGCAGATCTGATAGATACAGAAGTGTACCAAATGCACTTTTTATTTAGCTAACTTGTAGAGGTAAGAAAAGAGGTGTAAGTCATTGAAAAAAAAACTAGGCGTGAGACTGAGCGTTTCAGAACATGCCTGGCTTCAAAAAAGTTAAGAAATAGAAAGAGATGGATTCGGTAGATGAAAGCTTCCGCAGTATCAAAATTGCGAATATCATAAAAGTGACTTTTTCGAGAAATTAGATAATTCGAGCACAATACCATTACTGGGATAAAAAATATTTACTTTTTATAAAACTTTTATCGCTCATGATTTACATCACGTCTCGCAGATATGGTCCATTGCTATAATACACATAAGGCGTCGAAGACGGCTGTCCACATAAGGTAAGCGTCGCGTGCGCGACGCGGCCTCAAAATCGTTGCAGTACTGTGTCACACGCACTTCGGATTCGCTGGCACCATATTGGCGCCCCTATGCTTTTGTAAGCCCAACACTTTCGTTTGGCATAAATCTTGGGTAGCAGATAAAGAAATTCGACTTGCTCTGCATCCTTGCACATCTAGGACGAGGATTTATGGTTCCGGCATATTGGTCAGGGGGGGGGAAGGCAGAAATTATTTCCGAGACAAAAAGCACAGGGTTAAGTTTAGATGGTCCGGAGCGGAGACTGGCAATTACAGCGATTTCAAACAAAAATGTGCATTCTTGCGAGACTATACCACAGTCTGTAATGTCATAAGTTCTGGAAGTAGGATATCTGTCCCCCTCCCCCCCCCCCCTCCTGGATCTCCAAACAACCCCGTGCTGATTGGAAACGCGATTCGCCTGTCATCAGTGACATCCCGAGCTGATTTTCAGGCGCTCCGCAGCCCTGTGATATGTTTGCGCGCTTTGCATGAATGAGGCGCAACCGTCGGCGCCTAGGTCCTGGCCTGGCCCCTCGTGCACACAAATTTATTTTGTTTGCGTTCGTTTTCGTATAGATAGCTGTCAGTTCTTAGGGTGACACCCGCACACACGCCGAAAATCTCATGAAATGTTGAATTTTCAACTTATCACCCTGTTTTTTTTTCCTGCTGCACACTGCCGGAAATGTTAGTTTTTGTCCTCGTGGTTATGCAGTATAAAAATGTCATGCGTGTGATAGACGTGAGATTTTGCAGAACTTTTCATTGGTTTTCAATTGGACTCTGTTTCTGTCTGCTTTCCAAGTTTAGATTTTCGCTCACATTCACATTACTTATAGAAATTCGTGGAGTTTAGAGTAAAATCTCATTTTCTTGCTTTTCTTCTGTGAGCTAAATTGTTTTCAAGATAGAGCAAAATATGTGGTCCGTTATCTATCACATGAACCCTTGATCGCTATTTGCATCAAGAACCAACCAAGTATAGTGATTTCAAAAACAAGAGAATTTTTTTTAGAATGCCACTCTAAAGAGTTTTTCATTTCCTCTGTAGAAAATGTGCAAGGACCTTCAAAAAATTTTTTTGAATCAGAAAAATTAATCTGAAGTTATTCGCAGAATCGACTAAATCAGTCTGCCTGCCCAACATAAAGAACTCCTTTCAGTCTTTTGCCCGTAATTTCTTTGGCAAAGTGCCAAAGCTTCAAACTATATTTTTGCCAGTCTTATTTAGATATGCTAAGCTAAAAATGCTATTATTTGAAAGGACAAAGTGCAAAAGGAAACATAATTTGTATTTTGTTACGAATAAAATCTCCGTTTCATTGAATAGTTGAAGGCGAGTGGAAAGCAGCACTTGTCGATTTGTAGAAATAGCATGCTGCGGTAATAGTCATGAAGTCTTCTACTGATGTAATGCCAAAATCGGTATGATGCTTTAAACAGTGTCCAGAATCGTTTGCTACATCTGCACCAAACGTTTCACCAGCGTGCCAGTATCGTGCCGGAACCCAACAAACGCGTTTTGATCGATTGACTTTGCGGCACGGCGCTGGAAACGCGATGGCACAGGCAACTCTAGACCCTGCCTTATATAATATTTTTTTCATTCAAGTACGGTTTCGGCTTACAGCTTCCTTACTTCAACAAAAGTTCATGCTTTCATTGGATATTGTATGATTTACTGTGAAATTACGGTATTTGCTAAAGTGGTTGGATCGTACAGTTTCAGAGTTCTAGAGAGTTAAGAGAAGTTAGAGAGAATAACGTGGATTAGCTTGAATCCTTGAATCTATGAATTTTCCTCTCTTTTTATAGCAATCACATCCGTTAAATATTTGTACCGTCATGCCACAGTACTGCCACTGTAATCCTAAACCAGAAAAGCGCATGACAGGCATCTTATTAGATGTACGCTGGGACAACTGTTTATTACAGTTGACAGAACATTTGAGATTATTTTGAGATCATTTGTTTTTTTTGTTTTTTTTTCTTTTTGCGGTCTGTTCAAAATCAGCCCTGTCAGGTTGACTAAGCGTCGCTTTCTCTTCTTAAATGCCAAGTTCCATTGTCGTTCAGTTTCTAAATTTGAAACTTTTCATTGAAAAATGGAGTAATGACCGAAGTGTTGAAGTTTTTCCTTTCCGAAAAACTTTCATATGTCAACAGCATTTTACTTTGATTTACCTTTCATCGTCTCACAAACTATCTACTGCGCGTTGACCTCATCAAACAAAACCAATATGTCAATTTCAATTTGGAGCGTAGAAATTTGTGATTCCGCGGCGATTTTTTTGAAAAAAATCCATTTGCGTTTCGCGCCATCTCACTCCCCCCTCCTCGAGCCGGACCAATAAATTTCTAGCCATTGACTGGCTGGTTGCTTGTTAGACAATATATCATCGTGTTCGCTGGTCGGCCCATGTTGCGTAACCTTGAAAGAGTACAGGGCTGGACGACGTTAAAAATGCGCTTGCCCTTATGGAATGCGTTGTGCTTTTTTTTTCGACAGCGCTTGGCTGATTGTGCACAGATTTTTATGTGCGTGAGATTTTGATCGTTGAGTGAGACGTTGCGAATACTGAAGTCAAGGACTTTTCCGTGATAAATTCAGGGTTGTCTGACAATGGGCGATGGGTATAAATTAGAGCTGCCATTTCATTAGTTGTCAGCTCAGCTGGAGCTCCGACTGCATTTTTTATCTTACCGCCCTACTGTAATCTGTCATGGAGTTCAACATTGGCGCACAACGTGTTACCCTATGGGCTTAGTCCCAGCACACTCGACTTCAACATTCCCTTTTGGTGTAGTAATAACAATCGCTTTTGTCCATACCTCTACAGTAATCTTACCGGTCGGTTAATCGGGCCTTGGGGCATTCTCAACCCTATGTTTCGTAAACTCCATCGTGGTTTATCCTTCTGAATTCTGTTGTGCTCTTTACCGTAGTCCTGCTGTAACCTACACATAAATAAACTCTATCGCAAGCTCGCTATAGGCAGTTTTCAGCAAATCTTTACTTGGGCTCCTTATGTGGGAACTGATTGGGAAGTCGTGGGTAAACCATTACCCGAGAAGCAGCTCATATGGCTTATTCGTAATCCAGAAAATCGGTTCTAAGTTTTCGCCCAGTACCGTACTCTTTCTGAGAGGGCCGGTCGGCGTCACCGAATAGTGTGCCGGACAAGAGTAGAGCTGATTTTACTCAGTTAATGAATGTAGTAGCTGCAACCTCCATCCATCATTCAACTGATTTGCCCAAAAAATCCCCATGGGCCCCATCACATCTGTGATTAATGTGACACGGCTCATTGAACCATTTGTGGCGCACGCGACACATCTTTCGTTCTGGTTTTTCAAAATGATTTTTGACTACTGAAGAAGTATATTGTTTACATACTGTAATGTTACGCTGCATAAATTTTATGTAGATGCGCGGCATTTAATGTCGGTTATTGGGGTTTGAGCTTATAAATGTAATGGTGAGACTTGCTGCACAACCACAAGTGCAGCAATGCCGCTCTGTCTTACTGTAGGGTTACTGTAGGTGCTTCGACTGACGTTTGTGCGGATTACCGCTATGTAAACTACATACACAAATAGTTATGTTTCACGAATTTTTGGGCATTGATAGAGTTACGGTTGAATTTGTGGGCTTAGGAAAATTGTAGACATTCTAACCCTGTCTGCCCCTCTACCTATCTCTAATCGACGGAATACCCACCATTTTATATTTTCTTCCAAAAGAACGTTCCGGAGATACCGTAATTTTTACGAATCCAATCAAAAACTTCAGCAAACACGTTCGAAATCTTTTTCTGATCCTTGCTCGGGTGTTAAATGGTACTTATAACCTCGAATCTTTTCATTTCTCAAGATATCTTTGCATATACCGCGCAATAAAGATTTTACGGTCAGATAATGTTTGTTCACGCCCTCATTGGTACAGGAAACGCCTTTGTGCTTTTGGGCCTTGGCGGTGGTCCGGCGGGGCCCCCACCTGCAGAACGCTGGCGCAAAGTAAACTCAGTCGAATGTTGTTGATCAACCTTTGTTTTTCCTATACACGACACTGCTCTGAGTTCTTGCGCGTCTGGAATAGTGCGATGTCTGTAAATGCAGACAATGCTGAGTATACCGCATTTTCTTTGTTCTTTTGTGTCAATATGACGCAATGTCTGTGAGAGCAGAATGCGCTAAATTTAGGACCAAGTAGTTGGTTTTTTACAACCTAATTAGCGCCTATCTGCACAACCAAAGCTTTCCGCCTATTATTTCTCCTTATCTAGGTGTCCTAATGGTTTTATTAGCCTACGTTTCAGCGGCTGGGCGTTGTTTTCTTGCCCAGATAACCGCAACAATGCCCCCGTGCTCATGAAAATGTATGACATCCGTTGCGCGCTAGAGGAGATTGATATGCATCCCGGTTCTCGTTCCTCATGTCACATCCAAATGGTAATTTTCCAATAATGTTCTCGCCTCGGTCGTTTCGAAGCAGTATTGGCTTGGACGCCGCTGGGCTCCTGGATTTTGCTATATGAAATCTTGGGAAGTTCCTGCTGGAAAATCATAAATTTGGTTCATTGTCATCCTTTGCGTGTAGGTGATAACTCTAGAGCTGATGAGCTATGAAAATGTTTTCGATATAGGCTATAGCTGCCTTCATACCTCGAGTTCTATTCATAATTCTTTTCATTTCCCATGGCCTATTTCTTAGTCATATTTCATTTTTTTATTTGTTCATTTTCATTTCCGGTTTTCTTGCCCAAAGTTGCATTGTAAAGGATTATGAATTATTTACTATCATTATTATAAGATAGCTTAGTTGCCGGTAGAAGATTGGGATCCTGTGTTAAGAAGGGAATTTTTGCCATAGTCAATAAATAACAGTTCTCATTCTGACTTACAACCACAAAAATTTCCACATGGAAAATAAACAAAAAAATTTCCACATGGGAAATAAAAATCCACCGCATTGAAGATTTTGAAATTTAATTGCACTTCATATTATGCCCTTTGGTTCACTTGAAAATCAGGAAAAATTTTCAATCGCGTGATCATGAATTTGAGATTATTCTGGCTTGATCGAAGTTCTAGGGACCGTAATCACTAAACTCTTTACCCAAGTATTGGTGGTTACTTTAGCTCAAAGATTTTATCAACTTTGATCAATGAGTCACTATTAAGCTTAGAAGACGTAAATTGAAGCATCTACCGTTTTAATAAGTCTGTTCGGCCCCCTAACTCTTCTTCGTGCCAGGAATTTCAAAACATGCAAATAGAAACATGTTATGATATTTATGTGATTGTAGTATCTAACCAGAAAGAGGGGTAAAAATCATGCTATGAATTTTTTCGATCTTGGATACCATGTTTGGTCTGGATCTCTGGAAAAGATTTATCTCCTCCGTTAAATTACGGGCAAAGTTCAGAAGAATATTTTTACAAAGAAGGATTAAATAACAATTTAGCTACCTCGACAATTTGTGTTATGTATTGATTTTTTTATTGTTTTGTAGCCCTATTTGACATAATAGTCACGCGAACAATATCGGCTCATAATCGAACTTTTTCAGAGCGATAAAATCACTGAGGTCGATCTGTTTCTGGAGAATTGCTCATCACTCTACAATCTCATCCTCGACGCTTTGCATGATCTATCGTCAAAGGTAAGTGTCCGATTTGGCTCATTAATTTTGCACTCCCCCCCCCCCCCGCCTTTCTCTACCTACCACATCGCTTTGCAAAATCGTCCGTTCTGCTTGCCGATCGTGGCTGATTTATTGATTCTTTTTTTTCAATTTGTGTTTGATTTATGTGGCTCATCCTTCTTGCTTGGCTAGATTTTTGTTTTTCTGCCGATTTTTTTCCTTGAATCTCTCAATGTCAATAATCGGTGCTAGATATCACTCTTTATTCGTCTCGCATTGTGTTTTTTCCTGGTATCAACGAAATTCTTGGAGGAATTTGCTAGCACTTGATGCTATTTTTGCAGAAAAGAAAGTGAAACCTATGAGCAAATCTTATCAGAGACTTCTATTTGTTAACTATCTTTGAGCTGGAAAAGTACAATCATACATGGAAACCGCAGTTTAGAGAAAAAAGTATTTCATAAACTTGTGCCAATCTGTGCAATTGCACAAAATTTCCCAAAACATGAGAGTCTAAAACTTTCGATTGAATTTTCATTTGGATTCTGTTGATTCTTTTGAGGTGGATGCTTTTATTGAAAAAGCTGTGACACGTCGGTGGTTTCTCAGTTCATGCACCATTTTCATGCTGATCACGGTATGAATACTGTAAGATTAGTGTAACTACACATTTTGGGTGCATCTATAGACAAACCTTGAGTAGATCACCCAAACACCGAAAATTGGTGTGTCCAATGAAAAACGGTAATATAACAGCGATGTTTCGAACGATTTTGAAAAGAATTTGCGGTAAGATTACGGTAGCTGCACGCTTCCTGGTAGGATAGTTGCTTTCCAAAATTGTGACATAAGAATATCGTAAGGTTCTGAATTCTTGATCTCACAGGATTAGTGTAAAGATTATAGTACCTCTTGGCTTATGAATCTATCTATGTTCTCATTAATAAGATTACTGAAAGATTACGATACCTGGTGTCTTGAGCATTTTCATTGGTTTCCAACGCACTATTACTGTAAAATTACGCACATATGTGGCCTATGGTTTTTTCCTTGATCTCAAATATCGGGATGATCAAGAAGGAAGGGGGAAATGTCATATCTGTTTGAGTTCTGTGCTAGCGCACTGTCTCGTATTCACACTTTGCGATACTGTATGCAGAAGAGCTCTTGGTGTGTAAGCATAGTGAGCATAACACGGGAAGTAGCAGCAAGTGAGTGGGAAAGTCCCAAGTCCCAACATCTCCTTTAGACTTCATCTATTCCCTAATTACTGCTGACTACGCAATGGGGCTTATCCACAAGTTTTCTATGACGTGTTCAACTAGCAGCTGTTGTTTTTTTTCATTTCTGATTCGATACCCGAACGAGGAACCAAAAATCTAGGCGCGACCAATGCAGTGTTTGCTTTTTACCATTGTATGGTAAATAGGTATCGCTAGCACACTTCTCGCTAAAATAGACAAGTGTTTTCGGTGTTTGAATAGGACTGGTTCAGAACATTGACAAGACAAAACCATTCAAAATTTAATCCAGTTTTTTCCAATTTTTTTTTCATGAAGTGTTACGATTGAAATTTGTGATCTCTACAGTAGCGCCATAGATACACATACGTTAAAATTTTACTTTTCCTTACAATAATGCTCTCCATTTCGTTTTTACAATTTCTTTACAAATTTTGTGACTCTATAGGATAGGCAGCGAGTCAGCTCTCTTGAACCGAACAAGAATAGCAGTTTTCAGCTGCGGTTTTCAAAAACCTTTGTTTGATTAGATTTGAGTTTTGGCCACTTTTCATGTGCATTTTCATCCTTCTTACATATAATTTTTGAGAATGATCTTGCTGCAAAAGGAAAAATATGACATTTTTTCTTTTCTTTTTACGTCAAAAAATTCCCAAATTTCTCTTCAATGTCTAAAATTTGATCTGTTCGCATTGATCTGTATTCCACTTTCCCTTCCAGAATTCCATTGAGCTAATCCGACTACAAATGCCTCACATAAACAAACGGAGATTGATAGATATACGACTCTAAGTGGACCCAAACGAGGCCACAGATGGTCTTAGTGACCTCATCGTAAAGGAGAGTCTAGTGGTGAACCCCCTTGATATTGTTTTGGAAGCCTCGTCTTACTACACCCAACCCTTTTTTCGCTTTTTTTCTCGAGAAACATTATTTATTTGTAAGATCCGTGCGATGATTGAATGAGCTTTGCACGCACTTTCTTTTTTCCTGTGACTACAGTTGCTTTTTTATTTGAAATATCTCTCTCATCATTTTCTAGACTTTTCTACGATTTATTTGCCCATTCCACAAGAAAAATCCACCCATACTTATCTGTCAACTTCGTTCACTTATCTGCAACGAGTTTAGAAAAATTGACCCAATTAAATCGCTTCAATGGCTCGTCAACGTTTTTGCTCTTCATTCCAAATCCTTTGTGTAACGAAGATAAACCATCATTAGAGCTGACGTCTTCGAAACTGTTTTTTTCCATCACCGGACACGGTCGACTTTTTGATTTACGGCTATTTTTTGGTTGCTTTGAGGTCATTTTTTCCCGCGTGGCGTAACGATGGGTGATTAGTTTTGTTTGCACAAAGCACTTGAACGAGACGATGAATTTTTGGAAGTTGTTAAAGGGGAAGAGATTCATTGCAGGTCTTTGTTGGAACGGTACTATGGAAAAAATGCGTCTAGTGGGGGGGGGGGGGGAGGGAGGGTTCGTATCCGGCACTAGCTAGAGTGCAACTTGCTGGAATGTTGCTCTGGGAAAGTGTGATTTTACCCTCACACTTTACCTTTCCATAAAAATCAATGTTGGGCAACAAAAATTGCAATTTTGTGGAATTATCTGGTGCTCATATTTATTTATTTATTTATGAAAGTTCCAGAACATCTGTCTAGACTCTTCAGCTCGCCATGACTGCATAATTTCAATACATTATGTTTATTCATCCAATCTGAGGGTGGGAGGGCGGGGGGGGGGAGGGGAGAGAATAGGGGCAGTAAAGGAAGGAAGGGGTGTGCTGAATAAACAGTGCATTTACCAAATTTTTTTATTTTCGTTATTGTGGTCCCACTTTTTTGCTTCTAGCGATCTCCTATACGATGTAAATCTAATGCTTTGCTTCTTTCAAAAATGTTATGAAAAAAAGATTTTCGATGAATCTGAGTACATGTTTGCAAAGAATCAAATAATTACAAATTTTATCCCGTTAAATTGAGAGTATGATTTTTCAAAGCTTTTATAATTGCGGTCGGAAAAAGTGAGAGCTAGGAATTGATGGAATCGGAGGTATGCGATTTGCTGACCTTGATTTAACTTGGCATGTTTACTCTTCCTCGACTCGCTCTGAATATTCCGTTCATTTTTTTTCTGTCCATGTTTTGCGTTGAATCGAAATTGTTGATATAACTGCTTTAAACTTTGCAAACTTCATGAGGAAAATCTAGTCTCTTCTACTAGCATCAATTTAGCCTTATCAACCATAGAAAATTTAGGAATTTGTAATTTTCTGTGAACTTAAACAAAATTTTTTCATTTGATTTTTGTTGCACTTCCTCGAACATGGTTATTTTCAAGCGCCAACAGCAGTACATTTTCAATTTTTTGTTTTCTCATTTTCTGCTGATTCTTGCGAAATAATTCACACTGCTTTCTACTATTCTGTCACATTCTATACTATCTTGATTCATTGTTGATGACTATTGGAATTGCTGATTCTTAGAGACGAAAACAATTAGTATGTTTCTCAACTGCGAGAATGATTATTGCTCATTGCGATGTATTAGCATTTAGACTTATGACCACTCAAGTCATTTATAGATCCCATTCCGAAGCCTAGTAAACATGCTAGTTCATAAATCAGATAATAGGAGATTGTTATAAATGCTATACGGGTAATATTGGAGTTTATGAGATTGCTATACTGGTAGCTTTTCGCATTTGATTATAACTTGGTGACTGGCAAAAAGCAAACTCTTATTTTACCTTGCTCAGTGCAAAAAACTTGAAATCACGATTTTTTTGTATACAAAAAATAGATTTCCTTTGAGATCACATCCATTAGTCTGGCGTCAGGCTACATTTAGCATATCATTTTGGCGTCGGATGTTTTTCTTCATCGACGAAAATCGCATCAAATCATCGTCGTAATCGCTCGAGCTGGTTAAAAGAGCTCAAGACTTTTACGATTTGCTTTACGCATCCGGTAACCTTTACCCCAAGCAGTTGTCCCCTGGTCAACTGAGTTTCTATCTAGCTCAATAATGGATTCATTAGTAGCCAGTCTAGTGATAATCAAAATAGTTTTTTTACATCAAAAAGAGGCGGAGTGGGAGGGAAGAAAAGCGCTTGTCGGGGCCCCGAAAAAGAGCTGTTGTTTTGATCACAATGCTTAGAGCTAACATTCAGCCGGTTATTCCAGATTAATTGGGGGATCTTGGAATGTTAGTTTTTCAGTGTGGAATTGATAAAATGACGTGCTCGCTGTTCTGAGACCTCTTTTTGCGCTTCTGTTCACAAGGATTTTTTTTACTGAAGAAAGCTTCTCATGCAAGTATTATTTTTGGGGTAGTTTCGTTGAGGTAAAATTTTTTTCACAGCACTAAAAGATTGTACAGTCATGAAATGTAAAGATCCTGAGCCTTCCGTATAGTGGTTATCTGAGACCTTAAGCGTACACAAAATACTTGAAAAATATCGCGAAAGCCTATGTTTTTATTCATGCTGAAAAACAAGTCCATTACGGATATATGCTTCATAGGTCAGGCACTTATCCACTGGAAAATTGCGTCTTAGGCTTTTGCTGTCTAATTGTTCTAGAGCTAATGCTTTTCGGTACCAGTGTGTAGCTTCCAAGTATATAAGTTGGGATATGTTCAGGTTTACTTAGCTTCCGCCATGGCTTGTGAAGGAACTTATTGTACAATAATTCATATTTGAGGATCATCTCATTTAAATTTGTCAAGTATAATGCCCAGCAGTTTTCTAGCTCATCAGTTCTTGCATATTTC